CTATTTGTGGTACATTTATTTGTGGCAAAGATCTTATTTTCACTTTACCGAGCGCCTGGTAGGTAATGTGCAGATTACCTAGATACTCTGTACATTATCTAGGTAATTTGAGAAATGGAACAATTTTCACAACTTTAACAGATCACGCTAGTTAAACTGCAGATTAGCTAGGTAATCTGCAGATTAACCACTTTCGAGCTTTAGCGGTAACAAAGACACCAATACAGTAATATTACACTAAATATAAATTTCTATATAATTATGTTCGTCATATATAAAGTTGAATAATTTACATTATTTTATAAGAAAATAGAAACTAGTATCAAAGTATTTTATAAAAAAAATTTTATCAATATGAAGATAATTACCTTATAAAGAAAAAAATCTCCATCATTGCAAAACCAGTAGTAGCTATTTCCACAGGAATATAATCATACAACCCTGGAATATTCTTGTACTTTTCTAAAAATAACATTTTAAATTAAAACCGATTTAAAATCAAGAAACCTGTATTGTTGTGTGAACGACGATTTTTACAGTGTAATTCAATAATATTTTTTCTATTACTGTGTAGACAAGCGCATTATTAATATTTTTCTTAGTTATAGTTTATATGTGTTTCACCTCTGTTTCACGTGTAGTTTGATTTATATTCAGATTTCTGCTTTTGAATATTTTTCTGCATTGATATTTTTTCAGTATTTAGTTTTAAGAGTAATTGGGAAGACTGAACTCGACGTACCTCTCTTGTGCAGTCCTAATAACGAGTCACAAAGTTATCAACTCTTCTTACTTTACATTTCTTCAGTTATCATAAAGAATGTCCAGTACCATGTAGGTCTTAGTATTAATTAGTGTTTCCCTTCATACTATCGCTGCTTGTACAATTTCCAACACCGTTTTTACAACACTTGCTCTTTTTACGAATTTTTTTTATCGTGTAAGCATTAGTAGTATTTTTTCATAGTTTTCGAGATACAAGTAGATACTGTATTTCCAGAATGGTATAATCGATGTATGACACTAAACCGAGATGAAATATAACGGATTTCTCTATAAAAGACATGAAATGTTTATATTAAATTTTTAAATATTTATCTATATCTATCTATATATATATAAAGGGACGTGTGTGTCCCTATATTTCACTTTTCAGCCAAAACTACACATCGCACATGAATGATGTTTGTATGTGGTAGTAGCCCCAAGTCTCCATTCGTGCACTATGGTGGTTGCGTCTCGATAGCTATAAGGGTGCGGGAGATATGGGCTTGAAAGTGGTTGAAAGTGGAAGATTTTCTATTTCGACTTTTAAAATTTTCGAATTCGAATTGATTCGGTTATAGAACGATTGTAAACGTTCCAGAAAATTGAACAAATTGAAAATAGTTCGGTTGACTTGACGTAAAAATTCTCCAATTAGTATGGAAACGGGGGATCCAATTCTTGCATTCTGTGAAAACGGGTAAGACTGGCTATAATGTAATTATTTTAATCTTCACTATCGTTACTTTTTGCCCAGCGAAGTGGGTCCTTGAAGCTAGATTCTAGAGTACTTAGAAAAACAAACAGTCTTTTATATATATAAAAAACTATATTACATACAAATAAAAACCCAGCGAAGCGGGTCCTTGCAGCTAGTATAGATATAAAAATAAAGATTTATGAAGATTTATCGGATTTATTAAAATCAAGCTAACGTTACTAGCGTTATTTGTGTATATGTCAAGTGCGCCTCATGAATTTTCTATCTTTAATTAAAATTTTGTAGTTTCCTGTTTTTTTTTCAATTTAATTAATTAATGATATATTTAGAAAACGTTTATTGCATTTTTAAGAACGTTTATATATTTACAGAAAATTCTCAATATGATGGCATTGCAAACGTATTTTATACAGAGTTAAGTCAACAAAAAAAGAAAAGTGTCTTATACAATTTGCTTAAAAATTGATTACTATAATATGAGAGTGCAGTAATTTACTATGCTTTTCGTAATGTCGTGTTCATCTGTGTAATTATCCATACAATCTGCATATTACAGAGCAGGTAGAAAGTACGAAAGACAAAATACCTATTCGCAACACTATAGGAAACGACATTATTATACTAAACAAGATAAGGTAAATAATAATGAACACGTTATGAGTTCTAACTTCATCAATGTTCAGGGTAATCCCCTCCCTTTTGAATCCTACTTGCTGCATGGCGAGTACACCGATTACAGTTGTGAGTTCTCAAACAATGTAGTTCTGCTATCCTTTTGCATATTTTTTCATATTGTTGTTAATATTTTCTTAATGATCTTTTTATTTATTAAGCAAAAGCACTTATACGAATATCTAGAATAATTTTTTTAAGAAAGTTTCAAAATTAAGACAAGAAAAAGCGACACAAAAACTTACCTANAAGTGTCGCATAGGATCATGTTGATTGTGGAACACATTGTTTATATTTTTTATAATTTCGTAATGACGCTCATATTGAGAAATATCTCCCATATTGATGAGATTCGATTTGCATAAATGTCTTGTACATATAAGATGTTTCTGCTTGCAGCGTGAAAAGTGCCATGGACTCAAGTTTTTGTACTACTTTCTTATAAAAATATCATCTGCATATCCTGAAATGTTACTCTACAAATTTAAACTAGTAACTTTGTGAAGGACAGCATTCAAATTGCTTGTTTGACTAATTACAAAAACTTCGCTGTTTAAATAAATGAAATTTGTGAAATTGTATGCATTGCGTAAAAAATACTAATACTTACATAACCAAATTTAATTTCTTTTTTCTTCAACATAATGAATCCAAATAAAAATCCAGTAAAAAATGAATTAAGATGTGTATAGTAAGGTCTCCCGTAATTGTAATTCAGATAATTCGTAAGTTTTCTGAAAATAATAAAAAGAAAACAATTTAAATATTTTTATACAATAGCATTACAAACAGAAGTACAAAAAATTTGCAAATTTGTTATTTTAAAAACAAAACACCGTAAAAAAATTAAAAATTCAAAGAACATATTAAGATACAATCAATCTATATTTTGTGTCTTATAAAGAATTTAACCATTTCAGAGCCTATCAACAAATATGAAGAATGGAAAATCCTACTAATATCTTATGCGCGTTTTTTAGACAGGTCGAAAACTCAATAATTTTTCGTTAATCTATCGTTTCAATATATGGCCTGGAATATCTGTAGGTGCAAGTTATAGGCCGCCCTACTGTGGCCTTCTAATCTAATAATGAACCTGTTAAAATAACAACTTCCATCAACACGGAAATGAAAGTTATTTAAAAAATCAGGTTCTCCGTTTATGCGGGTAAATTTTTATCTTATCATAAATGGGAGGAAACATTTGTCTTATGCGTGATTTTTTTATAAACTTTATAAAGACGGAACGAGAAAACAGAAAATTACTCCAACGTGTCTTCCTAAGTTTGGACTGGTATACGCCGGATTACCATATCTCTCAACTACTTACTAACCACGGAAAATTCGCGAGCTACCTATACAGGTTCGCTCACAGAACTTCCAATCAATGCCTTCCTTACATGTCTCGTTGAAGATGGCACCAAGCATTACAAACAGAAGTACAAAAAATTTGCAAATATGTTATTTTTCTTGCTGCATAATCAACCTTTACGATTGTGTTATGATGGATAGTGAGAGAACTGAAGTCAGTCTATTACTTCATGAGATTGGCATTGGATGGCCATGCCAGCCTAAAGACATTTGGACTAACCGTGAAATCTTCTCCTCTTTCAAAAAACTCACTAGGAAAATAACCCATGTTACGCACCAAATTATCAACTGTTAACATGTACTGNAAAAAAAAATTAAAATTTAACTTAAAACCATGCCTAAAGCTATACAATATAAAGATAAAAATGTCCCCATGACTGTATGAGCAATAAGCTTTATCAATGTAGACAGGAGTAATATTTCTTCATAATGTTGCATGGTAACGTGACGAACAGGGTGAAAAACAGTAGGACAACAGAGTTGCAGGTTCAGATATTTCTACAAGATGCAGGGAGCGGTTACAAAGGAAGTTTGTTGCCTTGTGCTCCAGATGTGTTAGGTAACACGCCTCCTTTGTAATTATTAATTACAAAGTATTAAATACACATCATTAATTAAAAAGAATCTAAATTATTACTAAAACAGTAACACAATAATATTAATTAAGCAAGTCCAGTATAAAACAAGTTTAGTATAAGGTCGAAATGCATTTTGGGTGAGTTAATTAAACAGGTGGGTTTGTAATAAGCCTGTTTATTAGTCATAAGTAACTAAGTAGTTTTTGTAATTAAATTTTAAATAATTTGTGTTATAAATAATCTATTGTGTGTTTTTTGTATTAAATTATTTTCTATTGAAGATTTTCTTTAACTTTCTATTAAGCTGTGAGTAGAAAGAAGAAAGTTATTTAATGACCGAGATCGAAGGAATAGATAGTTGTATATTAACAGTAGTTCTATGGCATAACAAGAAATGGGCATTCTTTCAGAGTTTTTATGAAAATTTTAATGACAAGTTTCGAAATAAATTTGTAGCATAATTACTTTACTGAAAATAGACACTTTAATGTAAGGTATGTAAGAAAATATCCGAGATTCAAAAACCATAGTTTAACATTAGTTTCTTTACTGTTTTTTTTTTTTTTTTAATACATCTGATTTGAAATTTCATTTGTCTAGCGTAGTCTATGTTGCTGGAGTTTTATGTTGCGTAGTCTAATTTACTGAAATGCGTTAAACATCGACATTACTGTATATAAAAGAACATTATTTCGTACTAAACTAATAAATAAAATAATGAATACTTGTATAATAATTGTAATAATAGTAAACTAATATAAAATGAATAAATAGTAAGTAATATTTACGATTTTTCTCTGACCTCTTACACCACTTGAGGAGATAATGCCTAATTCCATTAAAGTTTCGACAAAAGTTGCCAGGACAACCCAACTTGAGAAGAAACCGAAGAACGACCTGTGAAAAATTGTAAGTGGAATAAAAATTAAAACTTTATTAATATATTACTTGAAAAACAACTGAAAGTGATCGTGTCTGTTGTATCGAGTACCTATTTATTTTCTTGTAATTTAATATATTCTCGATGTATAATAATCTGTAATTAACTTTATCTTTAAATAATGACAGTATGATTTGGCAATTGCTTATAATTACCGTGATTTTTATCTGATAACCCACTATTTGTTTCTGGTTAAAAGTCGAATTTCAAAAGCACTGACACAATATGCAATATCTGGATTATTTGTTTTTCGTAAATTTCAATTACAAATTTATTCAACAATTTTCTTTTTCTGTCTATGTGTTTTTATTAATGTTTGCCTATACTTCAACAATTTGTAAGAACATCACAGAACAAGAGCTGATGTACTTTTATAATACGGGTTTGATTAAGTACAGTATAAAAGTACATCAGTTAATTTGAAAACAGTTTAATATATGTAAATTTTATTTAATGGTCTGTTTTTAATGCTATACGTACTTATAATTGCTATGCTGGTAATGGAAATCCTCGATGATGGCAGCATTAACTACACAAGTACCTTACCATGAAAAAGTTGGGCAATTTTTATTTNACTCTAGTTACGCTGGCCACGTGGAATATTTCATGTTTAGTTTATGTTTCTAACATATGAAAATGAGCTCGTATAAACTCATTGCTGTAGGCATATGTCCATCGTTCACGAGATGTGTTGCCGATCAAACAGAGTTATATTTATTCCATATATTGCTAGAGATAATGTAATTCTTCAAACAATGTTATATAAGCAAAACTGTTGGTCAACAACTGATGCAGCAAGTAAAAAATTGTGAATAATATTGTACACGAAAGCCACATAACTGAAAATAAAAACTTTTCAACAAGGTCGGTGTTAACCACTAAAAATCAATAAAAGTTTTATAAAGAGTCGATAAGGTTTGAAAAAATTAAGAATTTATTTAAAAATTTTACATGTCTTTTTACTCTGAAATATGTCTTCGCAAAATTATATAGAGATGCTGTACGGTATATGTATATATTGGTAGATAGAATAAGCTTATTATCCTTCATACGCGAGTCATTACTCAATATTATACCTGTACTCCTGTAACCTTTTGTTTAGATTTTAGTTCTTCATTACAATTTTATCCATATTAAGTTTTTTAATAGTGTCTGTTATTCGGGAATCGCCCATACTTTATCGACGATCCCGCTTACTTTCCCACACGACCTGAGAAGCCGATCTTGTTACCCGGAAAACGCGCCCCGAAAGAAAAACGCCATCCACAGACGTTGTGAGCTGTTTTCGTCAAACCGTCGCCAGCAAACGGGTTCAGGCGCATGCATTAATTCCGGCTCCTCACCGTATTAACAGTATTTAAGTCACCATCATTAAAGTTAAGAAATTGTTATATCTGCGCTAAACCATCAAACATTCATCAAATAGAAAGAATTATGAAAATTTTAAGACATTGTGCAATTTGCACCTATAATTTTCTCGTTTAATTTTGTGTACTGCGCCTTTCTGTTTGGTACATGTCAGTCTTTGGGAATGCAGTTTAAACTTAAAAAGTTTATCGAAATCGGTGAGCCAACGTATTGCCGTTTTTCGTTTCGATTCTGAGTAAAGTTTATAATTAAGACAATTTTTCTTCAAACTTTGCACCTTCCTTTGCAGTTTGTGAGAAATCCGACGCTCTTATAAGAATTTTCAGTAATAAAAGTCGTATACAATTTTTCTTTCATCATTATTTCCCTTATTTCTCCCGTCATCACCCCTTTGCCAGGGTAATTGACCTTGTGACACCAGGCCTGGTACTGCGTCACTTAAAAAGATGACCTTCTAGACTGACGAGGTCGTCGTAGTCAATTGCGGAAGATCCCCTGGGATCTGCGGTGTAACCAATTAACAACAACCGACATGTGTTACTATGTAGAGAGTTTCGTTCACCCTCTGCACAGTAGGGTCACCTGCAAGGGTAGACCATGCGGGGAGGGACTGTGTCGCGTTGCCGAGGATGGTTATCATCGGTGACGTGATATGATTTCTCACCGTCTTCGTTACTTCAGGTGATGACGAATTTAATGTTAATTGGTCAAGAGATGTCTATGTAACTTCGTCACCCATGACGCGGGAGACGTTAATAAATCTGGAGAACTGTCAAATTCAAGTAAACACACGCTGCAAAGACAATTACGTCAGCAAAATCCTAGATATTTCCCATGCTAATCGGGTATAAAAAGAAATCGCTCCTGCCCCTCTGGGCGATCGTCGGGAAGAAGCCAACGATTGGACTTTTCAAGCCTTCTCTGCCTTTGGGAACTTCGCAGCTTCTAATCGCTGCTCCAAATGAGTTAAAGACTTAGAATATTTTGCTTCCCTCTCTCTCGGTTGGGGTAGAGACTTAGAAAATATTTGTCTCGCTCGGTTTAGTTAGACTTAGAAATAATTTCTCTTCTGTTTCGGTTTAGGATAAACTTAGAAAGTTATCGGATTGAGGACCTTCGGCGGTCCCACCGATGGAAAAAACGGACATCGGCCATCTGTTATTGTCGCGACGCGAAAATATTATTACCCTTATTACTTTCATCTTGCTTAAATTTAGAATATGTAAAGTTCAGTTGTAACATGTGTCAGACATGTGTCAGGTGTGTGGATGTCAGCAAGTGGTGATGGACAGAAAAAATTGTGCCCTGCCCTTTGTGTGTGTAGAGTCAGAGTGTGTATGGAGGCAGTACTGAGAGGAGTGCTGACCGCAGTACTGACCAGGGAGCTAACCAGAGTGGGTAACTGTGTGACTGGTCAAGAACCAGTATTGTGTAATACCAATAATTGTCGGGTACCGGAGTGTTGCTTGATTGTGGAGTGCCAGAGTCACTCACTTATTAGAGACATTAAAGTGTAATTGTGTTGTTATTGTTAGACAGGAAGTGTACTGTGTTGTTATTGTTAGACAGGAAGTGTACTGTGTTCTTTTCAAATTTGTATACATTTTCTGGTCCGTCGATATACAACAGAATATATTTGCCTGTAATTGTATCATTTGTTTTATATTAAATATGTTATTCCCAATTTCACTGTCTCATCTTTCAGTACGATCGACACCTCGTCATGACTCCACTAACCCTCCCACTCATTTAACAACGCCATCTTTGACAACGAAGCCGATAAGTGGGGAGAAGCTTACCGTTCTAACCTCCTAGGTTCACACACTATATCTGAACGAATTATAAACATATATATATAACAATATGATATGTAAATTAATATCAAATTTTGGAATAAATATAAAATTCTCTCACCTGATGACTCTTTTTCGCAATAAGACGAAAATATCCATTGCAGATTTCACACTGCCCTGGTTACAATACGAGAGAAGAAAAGCACTGAAATTTGTTTAAAAAAATTGTGAATTATCTTACGTGTAGTTGTTTTAATTTTACACTAACAATATAGTAATGCTGTATCAAATTCCGCACTATAAAATTGTTTGTAGTGCATATTATTGTCAATAATAATGCTGTAATGGTGCTTTTCACAAAGAAAAGTCTGCCTACCACTCGGAGAACAATTTAGATTGACCATTTCGTTGCCTGAAGACTTTACTTGTACAAGCGTAACGGCTACTAATATGTATAATTTTACAATATAATTATTATATAATAATTTCAACATAAGCAATTGCCCTATTTTCATGTTGATTTTAGACGAACCACTTGGTTGCGCTACTGAGTGGCACCATTCAGTGGTCTGTCTGAAAACGGCCTAATATTAAGTTTCTACCAAATGTAAATTGTTGTAAGAACCTTTAGAGTAATTCAGTATATAGAAGAATTTATCATGATTTTACAAAGTTTCAATATTGCTATAAACTGTTTTGATATTTGTTAAGATGTTACCGCTAAAGCTCGCAGCAACGTTTCTGTACGCTTAAATTAACATAATGTTCTTTATCTAATTTACGATATCTAAAGAATTAACTCAATACAATCAAACAATCAACAAATTAGTTGATAGAATCAATCATCAACCAATTAAAACACATACAAAAAATCAAACGATTTAAAATATTAATACAATTAGGAAAATTATCATATAGATAACCACCTATGGAATTTCGGGACTTTGAGTATCTATCTGAACTGAGGGGACCGAGACGACTTCAACGATACCCTACTTTCGGACTGGAGACGAAAAATAATAAAGTTGTCATACGTTTTCTGGTGATCGCATGAAATAATTGTGCAGTTAATGTTACCTATGGTAAGTAAATGGCGGCTCGTCTCTGATTCCAGCAAACAGAAGAAAGGAAACAGTGGGGACGCACGTTCTAACCTAACCTTACCTAGTCTAATAAATTACCATAATTATTACCAACCAAATTATTAGACTAGGTTACGTTAGGTTTGAACGTGCGTCCCCACTGNCCGGATTACCATATCTCTCAACTACTTACTAACCACGGAAAATTCGCGAGCTACCTATACAGGTTCGCTCACAGAACTTCCAATCAATGCCTTCCTTACATGTCTCGTTGAAGATGGCACCAAGCATTACAAACAGAAGTACAAAAAATTTGCAAATATGTTATTTTTCTTGCTGCATAATCAACCTTTACGATTGTGTTATGATGGATAGTGAGAGAACTGAAGTCAGTCTATTACTTCATGAGATTGGCATTGGATGGCCATGCCAGCCTAAAGACATTTGGACTAACCGTGAAATCTTCTCCTCTTTCAAAAAACTCACTAGGAAAATAACCCATGTTACGCACCAAATTATCAACTGTTAACATGTACTGTAATTCTAATTTACTAGTAATAATTGTTTTTCCTAATTTCTACAAAAGTATCGTGTATTGTATTATTTTCTGTTTCCTACTGTAAATAATTGCCATGATATGTATTGTACTGCTCGCGAACCTTATGATGTATCTGTACTCTAATTGTCGCGAAACAAATCTTGTATGTATTAATACTAACCACTATGATGTATTATAAATTGACCTCATGTACATATTGTATACTCCCTCCCTGGTAGTGCTTATTGCGGGGCCAGGGCATGTACGTTCTTCATTTGTACCTTAATAAATTGATTAATTGATTAATTGTTTGTAGACCGCTCCACTATGGCCTTCCAATCTCATAATGAACCTGTTAAAATAACATCTTCCATCAACAGGAAAATAAAACTTATTTAAAAAATAAGGTTCTCTGATTATGCAGGCGAATTTTTATCCTGTCATGAATGGGAAGAAATATTTGTCTATTTTGCAGATTATGCTGTCATGCACATTCTTCTGTTATATCATGGTGTGCGATGGTTCAACATTTCATAGTGCATTAATAATATTAAACAGGAAAGTAATAAAAACCTCAAAATATTTTATTATGATAAACTATGTACTCTTATCTGACGATGTTTTCAGAGATACTGAGCCGCCCAAATGCCATTCAATTGGTATCAAGAAATTTCAGCTCTCTCAGAAAACATTTTCATAGAAAACTTTGTTCTACATCTCACCACTGTGCCGATTTTGACGCAGCGAGCAAAATCTATTTTATTGTATGAAACTCTTACATATAGAAATTTTAGCGATGCAGGAGATACTACCCAGCACGAAACCCATTCTGATAGCGCAAAATCTAAAGACTATGGGCAGTGTTTTGTTAAGCTAACTACAATTTGATATTTGTGATGCTTCTCATATATATTGAAATTGACTTTTTTGATGACGTTAAATTAGTACCTGTGCTGTAATGAATTAAGGTTCGGCGGGTCTTTCTTTGTTTATAACGTTGTTTCTTTGCCATAATGATAAACTTTGGTATCATATTTTTATGAAACTTTATTTTTTTGTCTACCATACTAAATTTGATTGCATTTAAATTGTTAAATATTTCCCTGGACAGCGTTAAATAAGGGTACTCTAATAAACATCACTTGGTACGTCTGACATCAGTACATCATTCTTTATTCGTGTTGTTATAACAAATAATATCTTAATTCGTACATATTTAAAACATATTATAACGTAATGGTTCGATTTTTGCTAGCATTAGTAATCGTGTCATAACGAAAGTAATGTCTCTATGTAATAATTAAATTTCAATATTTTTTATTTTTGTTTAGAGAACGTATAGAGTATCTGGTTTTTGACTTTATAGTTTGCTGTCCTGTAAATAAATTTATATTCAATTTTAGTACTTACCTATAATCAACAGAGTAACCAAATATTATGTGAACTTTGTATATAGTTGTATTAATAATGTGTGATAAAACTCCTGCCACAACTAACATCAGTGTGATAATTTTTCCATACTTCGGCCATCTAGAATTAAACAATATACATTTATTTCTGTTCTGTACATCATTTAAATTACGGAAAATGAAAAACGAAACATCCTGATATATATATATATATATAATTAATTGTTATTTTTATTATACTTGTAAATCGAGTTACATATTAAATATTATGCGTACATTCATAATCACACTACACACGAGTAATTGGTATCGATTACGGGCTTAGCCTACAGGCCAATCACGTGAAATTTACCATGTCTTCTCCACGTATTTACACGTAAATAAAAGAGATTTCCGTAGAAATTTATTACGATAAATTGTTTTTTCTCAAATCGTTTAAACGTTACGTTGACATATTTCACAAAGTTACTTTTCGTAAAACTAAGAAAAGAAACCTGAAAGTAAGGATGTCGGAACATCTGGCTGCAGTAAAACTTAATAAAGTCAATACAACTCCCATGTTTTTACATTGTCACGCGAATAATTGCCAAGTTAATATTAATAATGTAAAAATCTTAAATAGAGAAAAAAATGTGATAAAAAGAAAATCAAAGAACACTTCGCGATAGTTGTGCAAAATAATGTTATAAATTTAAATAACGGCCTGATACCAGCCAAATGTTGGAAGAGATGATAATACATAATAGTTGTAAATGCAATGGTACTTGTGTTAAAGATTTGTCTTCTGCTGTATTACATTCTGGTAGTACTGTGTGACGTTATGGTTGTACGAAACCCTGCTGAAGAGACCAAAAAAGGCGAAATGCATTTCGTGTGAAAAATAGTGTTAAATAAAAAAATCTTTTTCTCTTAAAGTTAACCTGTTTCTCCTTTCCTTCTATCCACCTGATTTGGTCAAAAAGCCGTGTTAGTTTATGGTAAGTAGTAGTTGCTTGACACACGCATATCAGATATTTTAAGTAAATTAATTTTTATGAGAAAATCTTCAGCAATAGTAATAACAAAATGAAATCAATTTTTCAAATCACAAATAAATTTTTAAAATAAAAAATTATCGAGTAAATTAAAACACGACAATTTTGAAATAATATTTTTATCACTCACTCATTCAAACATTTTTTGAAGAGGCTGCAATTTAATTTTTTTTAATACAGTAGATCCCCCTATAAGACGGTGGATACGTTCCGTTCTTTATGAATCAATTTTGTAGGAATGATAGTTTACGGACTACGGCTGTTTGAAAGGTTTTCTTTCATAAAATTAATCGATTCTAGACTAATTCGACTCAACATTTCCAAAATACGTATATTTTTTTGAAAATAANATAATATTAAATATCAGAATAAACTATCACAAGCTAAAGAATATTTTCGTTTCATTACTATATAAAATGAAGAGATTATTATAAAACTACTAAAACGGTTAGTAGTATATCTAATGCGATGAAACATTAAACGTTTTTTCAATGAATTGAATGATGAATGATCGTTCTATTTTAGGCTCTATGACTAAACCTGAAAAAGTTTTCTAATTTATCATGGTAATATGAAATACGTGCTGAAGCGAACCCCGAAAATTCACCCACAGCAAATTTGATATGAGCAAACTGCCGTGCTGACATGACAAGTGTATTTACAAATTCTCGAATAAATAAAAATTTTGAGTGTGTAATGAACAATATAAACGTGGAAACATTCGCAATTTGTTTAGAAAGATAAATGACAAGTATATTTTAAAAAGTTATCTCATGGATCTAAAACTTTTAATCCAACACTTGTTAAAATAACACCTTAGTGCGAGGCTGCTATGTACTCACATTAACTTTAATTTATGAGAAAATATTCAAATCATAATGTATAACTTACAAACATATTATTTGAGAAGTGGAATAAACAACTTTCTGGTTCTTCTCTTTGCAATAATCAACTCTAGCTGACAGTTCACTACCGAGCACTGCAAGGAATNAGAAAATAGAAACTAGTATCAAAGTATTTTGTAAAAAAAATTTTATCAATATGAAGATAATTACCTTATAAAGAAAAAAATCTCCATCATTGCAAAACCAGTAGTAGCTATTTCCACAGGAATATAATCATACAACCCTGGAATATTCTTGTACTTTTCTAAAAATAACATTTTAAATTAAAACCGATTTAAAATCAAGAAACCTGTATTGTTGTGTGAACGACGATTTTTACAGTGTAATTCAATAATATTTTCTCTATTACTGTGTAGACAAGCGCATTATTAATATTTTTCTTAGTTATAGTTTGTATGTGTTTCACCTCTGTTTCACGTGTAGTTTGATTTATATTCAGATTTCTGCTTTTGAATATTTTTCTGCATTGATATTTTTTCAGTATTTAGTTTTAAGAGTAATTGGGAAGACTGAACTCGACGTACCTCTCTTGTGCAGTCCTAATAACGAGTCACAAAGTTATCAACTCTTCTTACTTTACATTTCTTCAGTTATCATAAAGAATGTCCAGTACCATGTAGGTCTTAGTATTAATTAGTGTTTCCCTTCATACTATCGCTGCTTGTACAATTTCCAACACCGTTTTTACAACACTTGCTCTTTTTACGAATTTTTTTTATNAATAAACCAACTTATATTTAATTTCAATTTTTATCATTAAATAAACTGATTTAATTACCAAATTTAGTTTAAAACATAAGAAAATATATTAAAACATGTAAGTTGCTGATAGTTGATGCGAATAATGCTGATCCGAAATAAAATATTCTGCAAAAATCATATATATTATTGAATTTCAAAGAAAACTTTCAGCACATTTCGTTGCATCTGTTATGAAAAGTATTAGAAAGAATACTACATTTTTAAAAAGTTTACATACGAATATGTTTTAAAGTGTAATTATTATTTAATTAACTCATTTACGATTGTGAATTTTTTCGCGACCCAAAAAAAATCTAANTTATGAAAAGTATTAGAAAGAATACTACATTTTTAAAAAGTTTACATACGAATATGTTTTAAAGTGTAATTATTATTTAATTAACTCATTTACGATTGTGAATTTTTTCGCGACCCAAAAAAAATCTAAAATAAAAATACATACAAATTTGCAAAAACAGGTGTACTACCACAGTTCACTCTTGTGTTACAATGGAACAGAGACAACTGAATACACTGAAACGCAATAACACTACACTAGTTCACACTACGGCGTTGCGGAATCGTTGTCTCGCTGCACCAGAAGTGACACAAAGCATGCTATTTCAAACTCTCATAAGTGATTTTCAATATTTTGCATTAAAATCTCACGACCCCAAGATTTTGCTGAGCGACTCCAAATGGGGTCGCGACCCATAGTTTAAGAAACCCTGAATTAAGAAATAAATGTATAGCAAAAAGTAAAAGCATCACAGAACAATGAAAGCAATGCATTTTACAGTTTTGTGACTTTATTTAAAATGCGAGTTAAAAAACGTGTTCAGAAGTGTCTTTTACCAACGGAATATTTTGTATTCACGTGACAGCAGTTTTGAGTTTGGCATATAATATTTTCTGTGATAAATTTTTTACAGCATAATTCTTAATACTGAGTTATTTGAACAATATAAACTTAATAATATACATTGTATATACATAATGTCAAAAAAGTGTTTTATTTTAAAAAAAATTAAATTATTCTCATTTCTGTTTTGAAACTCCTTGTAATGTATTGTTATGTGTCTGGCAAATTCCCTTAACTTTAGATGTACAAAATTGTGAGAATACGGACGAGGGTCCAAGCCCTCTAATCGTCAGATTAGTTAGACCTGCTCACTTTGTTAGTGGATGGCTTAATTTTTCTCAGAACCCGAGTGGTAAGATTCTGTGTGGATTTGTGCATAAGGAATGAATACCAGACAAGAAGGACATTAAATATAAAATTAACAATTTAATTATTACTAACAATACTACAATATAATGGATACAAAGGAATAACATAATACAAAGTAATAACAATATGGAATACCTATGTACGGATAATTCCTATCTCTACGTTATTTAAGCTAAACCCGAGAGAAAGAGTTTTACAATAAATTTTACCTCGTTGTTCATGTTGGGAACCTTTCTCTCGTTGATTCCTTCCTGGATAGTGGAGCCGGGAGGACAGGATGAGCTGGTGGATGAGGAGCACTCACTCTAGCAACAATTTGAACGAACTCCCCGAGAGTCCGCCAATCAGCCCTTTTATCCCCAATTATTTCATAATATTTTTCTTAGAAATTGGTTATGACATTTCAGCAGGTGGTGTGCAAAATTCTAAGATACGAGGCGTGGAGGAAGGAAGCAAAACATCCTCAGTTCTTGAAAAACTGCTACGTGACAGAGCAGTTTTACAGGATGTAAAAGTTTATAATCTTATTAGGTTATGTTTTATTAATTATTCCAAATTTTATCATTTTTTTTATTTTTGAGTGAAATTCAAATATATTATTTATTACGTTAAAATTATATTAATTATCTCAAGAACACCGTCAGATTGTCACAAAATATTTTATCGTTTCATTTTGATGTGTTTCAAATGAAAAGTGCAATGTCATTCAGAATGTCATCACACAGCATACTGACTGATAATTATTGTTCAATTTGAGTAAATAGTAAAATAAGAAATGACTTTGAGTATGTAAGTCTGGTTTTTGTTTTCAGGTCAGTCAACTTTGCTAATGTTGATAACTTTCATCTTTGGTCAATGCCTAAATACAAACTTCACAACCCGTAAAATTAAAAAAAAATGTTAACAAAGTCAGCGCCGTCATCNTGAACGAACTCCCCGAGAGTCCGCCAATCAGCCCTTTTATCCCCAATTATTTCATAATATTTTTCTTAGAAATTGGTTATGACATTTCAGCAGGTGGTGTGCAAAATTCTAAGATACGAGGCGTGGAGGAAGGAAGCAAAACATCCTCAGTTCTTGAAAAACTGCTACGTGACAGAGCAGTTTTACAGGATGTAAAAGTTTATAATCTTATTAGGTTATGTTTTATTAATTATTCCAAATTTTATCATTTTTTTTATTTTTGAGTGAAATTCAAATATATTATTTATTACGTTAAAATTATATTAATTATCTCAAGAACACCGTCAGATTGTCACAAAATATTTTATCGTTTCATTTTGATGTGTTTCAAATGAAAAGTGCAATGTCATTCAGAATGTCATCACACAGCATACTGACTGATAATTATTGTTCAATTTGAGTAAATAGTAAAATAAGAAATGACTTTGAGTATGTAAGTCTGGTTTTTGTTTTCAGGTCAGTCAACTTTGCTAATGTTGATAACTTTCATCTTTGGTCAATGCCTAAATACAAACTTCACAACCCGTAAAATTAAAAAAAAATGTTAACAAAGTCAGCGCCGTCATCTATTATTCATTCCAGTTTATTGTAGATGCATAATCATTATCAATTATTTCACCACACTCCTGAATACCTCTCTCAATATGTCCATTAATTTTCTCTTCTGAAAAGGTTTCGTCTTGCACCTGGAGACAAAGGAGACAGCAATCGGGAAGCGAAAAATGGGACGAGAGACCAATCGGAAATGCGAATAGTGGGGGAAAAACTATAAAAATCGGAACTTCAAGGTCGAAGAAGAGTCTCCTCTGGATTAAGCCTAGTTGTGCTTTATCTATTGTGTTGTGCTACCGCCGATCACCTATAACGCCGCAGCTTATCGGTGTTAAGCTGCGGCGTTATAGGTGATCGGCATACTCCTCCAGCAATTCTTAACATCCTCCAGCAATTCGTCTCGTCCAACATTCCTTAACATCCTCCAGCAATTCGTCTCGTCTGCCCGGGCTATGACTAATTACACGAACTCTCACCATTTCATAGAAACACCGAGATTTTGGAATTGTCCAATATTGATGTAAGCATGATATTCGAACAAATAAACGCGTTTTTCTTGTAAAACACTTGTACTTCCTTTGCCTCCTTCGCCACCACCCACATACACGGTTTCGCTTAGGCTCATTTTGTCGCAGGAGTAATTGTATTCCCTGTTTCAGTCTGCGACCTTACGTTCTTGACAATTTTTCGACAGTCAATCAATCGGAGTGGAATCAGTTATATTTTTTACACTATCCAAGCAAGCAAGTTCTCGGGAATTTTCCACAGAAAGTTCGATTCCTCCTTCACCATCCAACCGGTTTTATATGAGCTTAACAGGGCTTCGATGAGTATAAAATAAAAAAATTTAGTGTCTCTAAGACGAAAAATTGAAATTTTGAAAAATGCTCATATAAAAGACATTTGCTGTTTAGGGGTGTTTAAGTGTTTTAAAGTAGCATTTATATTCAATAAAATAACTATAAATAAATTTGAAGTAGGCTAGGAAATTACTAAACGACTGGTAACACTAATTATATATTAAATTTAACAGTAGATAAGTTATTTTTTACAGTTTAAACAAATTTACTATACTTACAGCTAGATTTTCCAATAACTGAAGAATTGTATTATTTTTAAAATTTAAAATGAATTCTGCAATTTCTGGTTTTATTTTAGGCAATTCGAATTTGATTGCGCAATACTTTCCATTAATATTTTTAGAATTCTTGAGTCCACTGCGTCCACTATCAATGTTCAGGCACTGATCATAATCGCCCCTGATCCATGGAGTTATACCTAACATACCAGCTGAAGGTTTTCCCATAGAATCCAGCACTGTAATAAAATATTGTTAAAGAAACCTTAAAAATATAATTTCCGTGAAATAAAATGTATAAAGTATACGGTAAACATAACTATATATTTATAGTAAATGATGTCTAACTTTTCTAAACTCTTATAAATTTAATATTTATTATTAAATATATTTGTATATAAAGCTCAGTATTTGCAAATTGCATAAAATCACTGAACACTGGAAGTTGGCACCATTAACGAGTAGACAATATATTTTTCCGGAAAACTTCAAACTTACATCTAAAAGGGTTTTTATTGCTGATAAAAGCTTATCTAGGAGAGAACTATGNGCCAACGTGGAGTTTCTTAGGTTACTTTGAAGCACAATGTAAAAAGGAAAAGTGAACTAACTCTGTCGTATAACGGTGTATAATTAGTTATTTGCTTACATTATATCTACAAAAGGGCGCAATAATTGTAATTGGCTATTTTCGCATTTATCCGTATGTTCTATAACAGGGGTGTCCAATTTTTTTGTTTCTCTGGGCCACATTGGAAGATGTCATGGATTTTTGGGCCACAAGTATATTATATATACTTGTGGTCCAATCCTTAAATATTAATAAGTTTTAACATTGATAAACAGATTATAGTGCGCCCTGAAATTTTGGCGAAACGCTAAATAATGAAAATTTTTGTAGAACATAGTGGAGAATTTCATAATTTGGACTGTCAGTATTCAAGCAGAATTGCTTATGAAAGAAATACATTTGATGGTTTAGTAATCACGAGAGCGAATATTAATATGTATTAAATCTGTATCACGAGAAAGGATATTTTAAAAAATTACTTTTACAGACACTTTCAATTTTTACTTAGAAATAGATAAATTCATTTATTATAAAGAAGACAAACATAAATTTATTTGAAAAACACGAATATTTGTTTTATTTGGGTCTCTAATTAATGAAAAAAATGACAAAATACTATTTTAAAGTGCATTTTTATTAGACTAATATATTTATAAATAATATGTAGCGTGAAAAGTAGCCAATGCGCCAAATGAGATTTTTTATGCCAAATTGAAGAAAGGGTAGCCAACTTTGGCGCAAAGTAGCCAAATCATGCAATGCTGGGAGGAATACTAAATAAAGCTGGAGTTGGGACTCAAAGGATTATTTTTAAATGTTTTCGAATAGTCGAAAATGTTTTGGATTAGTCGAGGACCTTTACATGTGAGTAGTGAGGATGGCTTTTGGAGACGTATGACGCACATGCTTCAGTTGATTTTTCATAAGTAAAAGTGTACGAATAACAAAAAAGAGTAGAAAGTGAAAAGTGAATAGTGAAGTGTGAAATGTAAACTATAAAGAACAATGCCGAAGCATAAGAAAGACTTTTTGCGGTCTGGAATCATATCGAAACAGAAATAATCAGACAGAAGAGCAACTTGAAAATTGTAGGGATACACACAGAACTAGAAAAAAATTAAGCAGAAGAAGAGAAACAGTCTATTATATAAAAAAGTATATTACATATAAATGTACGAACAAATAAAAACCCAGTGAAGAGGGTACTTGCAGCTAGAGTGTTTTATAAAAAATATTTATTTTATGAAACACGTTATGTATTGTTGTAAGTATCAATAAATAAATGTTTTTATCAAACTCGCATTATGTCATGACCCAATTATTTCGAATTAAATGTCATTAAGTTCTAATTATGGAATAAGGCAATAACTATAAGGAGATTCTTAAGACCGATGACGATGAATTTTAATGATATTTTGGGGACAGTTCCGTTTTCTCTATACCAACATCAAGAAAATCTCTAAATATAATCATTTCTAAAATTTAGTCATTATATGTATGTATAAATCCTCTGTATGAAAGTTTGTGTTGGGGAATATATAATACCACCAACCATCCTATTCTCGTTTATCCTATTATCGTTAAATAAGTTTACTTCCTTCAGAAAAGTAGTTAGTCAGCCGTTGACTACATGTTTTAGACCATTATCAGATGATCCTTAGGCTCGATCTCCATTGGAGAAGAAAATTAGTATAAAATAAAGATATACGCTAAAATCTGCGGACTTACCTTTTCAGCGCCTCAGCTTTTCTTTGTTTAACTAATTGCCATAGTTCCTCTTACAAGTGACTTCCGCCCAACAATATGAATCGCATAATTCAAGTTATCACAAAGGTAATATAATATAATATCGTTTGTATACTCTCTCTCAACCTAGGAACAACCTAGGTTAAGGTTTAATTATTTATGTTTAATCGTAGCTAGATGTTATTTATGTTTGTTTCATTTGTATTCTTTGTTTTCCGTTAAAATATATGTTAATTTGTTAATGGGACTTGATTCTAGTTTCCTCACGAACTTCTATCACTTACTCACGTGTGTCTCCCTACTCAAACGAGCCGTCCTAATCGAAATAGAAGAATCGCGAGTTACACCGCGAAATAATAGTTTAACTGATGTCAATATCCTGATGTGGATCTTGATTTCACAATCGAGATCCTTATTACCGCTCATAGGTTAGACTTCCATTGACGTAGATATCGGATGTCACGAACTTGTGCCGATTAAGTAGTACACAAGTTTACTAACTTTATACCCCCGGCTTATCTCACATAATTAATCTGTGGAAAACAAAGTTAAAAATGAAATAATAATAAAAAAATAAATAAAAAGTAAATTTTATGCAGTACAGTTAGACTGTACTACTGATAAAAGTCGTATTAAACAATTGACTCTCATTGTTCGAATTGTAGAAATGCCTAACGAACAATAAAGAAATAAAGTTGAAATTAATGATTATTTTAATGGTTTTTCTCCTTTGCCAAAAAGTACAGGGTTTGATTTATAAGAGAAATTATGTAAAGAACTTAAAACTTTAACTATTTCTTTGAACGATTGCCGTGGACAAGCTTATGACAATGGGACTAACATGGTAGGCAAGAAAAAAGGCATGCAAGAGAGGATTTTGGAAAAATTCCGACAGCATTTTTTGTTTCATGTTCTGTGCGCAATTTAAATTTATTAATAGGTGATATGGCTTCCTCGGTTCCTATGGCTATGACATTTTTTGGAAGTCTTTCAAAACTGTATTACTATTTTCCACGTATGCTCACAAGTGGGCTGTTCTAATGAAACATTTAAGAAATTCGATTATAAAATCATTATCAGATAAACGTTGGGAAAGCCGAATAAATTCTGTGAAGACAGTTAGATTTAATTTAAACAAACTTATAACAGCATTAGAAGAATTAAATGACGTGACAGAGAATTCTAGTGTAAAACGTGAAACAGATTCCTTGAGAAGTATGCATGACTCTCCCAATTTTAATCATTAGTTTAAGAATATTACTAACAATTCTGATTTCAACAGCATCAACAGAACGAAGCTTTTCTAAATTAAAATTAATTAAAATTATTTACGGACAACAATGTCACAGGAACGATTATTAAATCTGACATTTTTATCTATTGAGCACGAAATATGTGAAAAATTAAATTGCGATGATTTGATAAAAGATTTTGTGGAAATAAAAGACCGCAAAATTGATATTTCATAAAATAGTGCGAAAGGTTCAATAAAAAATTTAAAATAAAACTAAAAAAGCATATGTCGTACAATCTTAATAAAATATTTTCTTTACACATTTTGTTTTATAATTTCCGCACTTTTGTTTAAATAAATTGTGAAAAGATAACGTTAATTAGTTTACTTATTAAGTTTTTTTTACTAATACTTAGTTTCATTTTGGAAAGGGTCTCATGATTTAAGATTTGCCCCGAGCCCCTCAAATGCTAGGGGTGGCCCTACTGTGCATTATCTAATTCGATCGGATACATCTAGTTTTTACGGATACTTCATTTCAACAGATACTTTCTCGTCTACTGTTACGCATTCTGAAAACGAACTATTAACTCTCACTACGAAACCTTGTTACAACAATCAAGAACGAGTCAACTCCATCCTCCATCAACGAGCTTCAGAACTGTCGAACCCAGTCAACCTCAGGTATTTATTGGCATGCGAAATTCATGTAAACTCTCTCTTTCTCTCTCGACCACTTACGTCTATAAATCCCTTAAATACATTGTCTTCCTAAGTTGTAAATTGTATCATGTTTTCTTCGTAATTAAATCGTTATTAGTTGTTAACCCGGCATCCCAGTGATTCACTTCCGGTACGACGTCTCCCAGATCTCCTCTATCCGAATCCGATCGCCCGCCCACGCAGCCGCTCGTGTGACCTACTTTTAAAAATAACCCTCGCCGTCGCGGATTTTTGGTCAAACGAGACCTGGTGGTGTATGACCTGACGAGGCACCGAAGATGTGCTGACCCTCAAGTCACACTTCTAACATTATCAAACTATCAACAATAAATATTTATAAGTTCTTACTTTGTAACGGCCATTCTTTCAACTGGGTTAAATCTGTCATAAACACGACTCCACTCCTAACACATGACGATGATAAATTCGTTTCTTCGGAAAGTTTCATTAAATATGGAAGGGCGAATTTCACCACTGATTTTGTCAAATTTTTCAAATTCTTTTCTGCTTCATTCAGAATTTTTAGTGTTTTGTCTAATTCGCTCCAATTTAATTTTTGTGTACTACTTTCTAGCTCTCTTTCAGGAACCTCGTTTGATTTGCAAAATATTATGAAGAGAAATAACACAAATTGAACAATTCCTTTCTTCATTGCTCAAAAAATAAGATTTCACGTTGGAACAGACGTTAAGTTCAAATGTTTTTTATTAAATGGCAACTAAATTACTTTTATAATAGAAACTACTTTTTGCTATTTCTGAGGAAAGTTTTGTGAAAACGATTAAAAACCTGAAAGACAGGTTGATAACGTCATGCTGTAGTTTTTAGTTGTTGACAACGTCATTGTTTATTTGTTTTTATTTTTGACTAGCTGCAAGGAATCGCTTCGCTGGGTTTTTAATTCTGGGCAAAAAATAACGATAGTGAAGATTAAGATAATTACATTATAGCCAATCTTACCCGTTTTCACAGAATGCAAGAATTAGGTCCCACGTTTCCAGACTAATTAGAGAATTTTTACGTTCAGTCAAACGAACTATTTTCAATTTGATCAATATTCTGGAACGTTTACAATCGTTCTATAATCGAACCAATTCGAATTTANTCGTGCTGGGTTAAGAAAAATTTGTACACAAAAATTGCACATGGACAATGGATGGTATAGCTGAGTTGTTCAGTATTTCTCATGGAAGCTGCCATGTAATCCTGAAATGGTCTGAACATATGTATATTGTAGTATTCCATTTGATGGGTTCTTACTTGAATATCATTTTTGAGAGCAATGATGCCACTATCAAATCTTCTACACACACACACACAACTCTTTTATTTACGTAATGCCGAAGTATTACATGTCTGGCACCGCTTTGCATAGCCAGTTAACATATAAAAACATTAAATAATTGAAATTACAATTACATATATTATTATATGTAATTGTAATTTCAATTATTTAATGCTTTTAAAGTTCAAATCTACAGTCGACCACCCTATAACACTGTTGATAATTCCGTTTTATATGAATCCCATGTTGTACAAGTCACTTAGATTTTACAAATACGTGTGCCGGACTGTGAATGGCCACATATTTGTAAAATCTAAGTGACTCATACAACATGGAATTCATATAAAACAGAATTATCAACAGTGTTATGGGGGGTCGACTGTATATTGGAGTATCAAGCTAGCATAAAAATTTAATCCATTATTCTAATATGGACACTTCACTTATACATGATACATATTTTTCTCCTTTAAACTTCAAATCAGGGGTGTCCAACCCGCAGTCTGCGGGCTGCATGTGGCCCAGTAAACGTGTAAACAAAACCAATAAATGTTTTAATTTTTTTATTATTTATTCATTTCAGCAGCATAAACTCAAAAAAGAAGTTTTACAAAGCCATAAACTTTTATTCATATTTTATTGGAAAAGAAATATTTTCAAATACTTGGAGATGTGTGAATGAGGAAGGATTACTAAATAAAATGAAGTTGTGGCTCGAAAGACGCAAATTTATAGGTATAAACTAAAAAAAGGAAGTTTCACATAGCCGTAAACCTTTATTCATATTTTATTGGAAAAGAAATATTTTCAAACACTTGGAGATGTGTGAATGAGGAAGGATTACTAAATAAAATGAAGTTGTGGCTCGAAAGACGCAAATTTATAGACCCAAATTTGGGAAAAAAAGAGAAAGGACAAAAGAAAAAAAAGTAGTGAAAAACGTTAAATAGATCTTCTGTTATGCAAATATTGACCCTTACTTTTCCAATAAAACCTTAATTCAGCCAATAAGTACCCGTCATTAACCGAGTGAATAAAACCAGTGAACACCAGAAGCTAGTCGTGTGTTCGCACACTGTGAACAGACTGGTGACAATAAGTTTTCTGGGCTTTCCTCGCGGCAACACCTAAGTTGAGGGCAGCTTTACATAAAAGTTTTTCCAGGATGCTCTGTGTCGCGTTGCAGTAATCAAATAAATAAAAATAATTATTACATGCGATTATTCATTGCGAAGTCGTCACAATGCCGTGCTGCAAATTTTCATCGGAATGTTTTCATTCATGTGTGTTAAACACGTTTGAGAATTCAGCCAAATCTATTTGAAGGCATTACACAAATACAGATATAAAATCGAAATATTTATAATGGGTAGTCAAATGTAAAATTTAATTATTATATGTCTGTATCATCCCCTATACGGAAGTACTATAAGTGCTAGAGTAAATTCGAAACTCACCAGACCATCCCTAATCGAAAAAATTATGACCAACAAGAGCATTTTATAAAAATTTCCTAGAATATATTATTTAAAATTATTTTAATCAAATCATTTTTAATCATTAATTGTGTTAATTTAATTACATAAAATTAAAATAAATATGTAAATTTTGAATAATTCTATTTATAATACAGTAGAGGCCCGAAAACTCGGCACTCGACAACCTGGCAGTCCGGATAACTCGGCCACATCTGGCAGGGCGAAAAATCCCCTAGTAAGTTTTCATTATAGACAGCTTTATGTTTCTTAAAATATTATTCTGAGGTCTGTCTTATCAGGTAAATTACTGTACACTGTGTATTCATTAATTTTCATTTTTATGTAGTAAAGGCTCTATGTCTTCATAAAGTACATACTTCTCCTTTGTTTAAGGGTATTTGGGCAGTTTATTCTCTGTTGTATTTTGAAGCAAACAATACATACAAGTACTGTACAGTACAGTATTTTCTGAAGAAACACTCGTACTTATTCTTTTTTAACCCCATTTCCGATAACCCGGCATTTTCACAAACTCGGCTAATCTTCGGTCCACATTAGGCCGAGTTTTCGGGACTCTACTGTAATAATAATAATAATAATAAATCAACAATAAATATTTATAAATTCTTACTTTGTAACGGCCATTCTTTCAACTGTGTTAAATCTCTCATAAACGTGACTCCACTTTTTACACATGACGACGATAAATTCGCTTTTTCAGTAAGTTTCATTAAATATGGCAGAGCGAATTTCACCACAGATTTTGCCAAATTTTTCAAATTTTTTTCTGCTGCATTGAGAATTTTTACTGTTTTTTCTAATTCGCTCCAATTTATTTTTTCTGTACTATTTCCTGTCTCTTTTTCAGGAACTTCAGTTGATTTGCACGATATTATGAATAGAAATAAAACGAATAGGACAATTCCTATCTTCATTGCTGAAGAAATAAGGTTTCAGATTCGAATAAACGTTAATTTCAAATGCTTAGTTTTAATTAAATGGCATTTTAGGTCTTAATGAGTTAGAGTACAAGTTAAAATTTAATAGCTTTCCTGCTATTTTCAGGAAAGTTTTATCAAAACTAATAATAACTGTATAACGAGAGGTAGAAACGTTGTGCTGTATTTTCCTTGTATTGTTTATTTGATTTTACTTCTGATAATTCCAGCCATTACCTTTCTGTCTGTAGATGTAAAATTACAAATACAATTTATTATTACTTCTAAGTAATGAAAATAATTTAACTATTTGAATATTATTACTGTTGTCCACCTCTTTAACATATACAGATCTTTCGGTCTCAGCGAATGTTGTAATGTCGAAAAATGTAAAAGAATGTTAGCGGTGTTATTCTTGCTTTTGTGAGTTAACCTAATTTTTTTCATCAGTTTGAAGTGTACTACTACACAGTATGTCCTATAACTTTTCGTCAAAAATTTCTGAGTTTTTGCAAGGACAGTTTGTTTGTTGAGTAAATTGTTTCGAGAAATTATTAGGAAAATCAGACAGTATAAAAGACTCGCGCGTATTGGAATGCAACGTTGTTTCAAAATTTCAAAGCAATCGACAAAGAACTTGCAAAGATTTAGGATTTTGAACAAAGGAAAATTTACATTTTTTTCATGTAGATATTATATTTTAAATAACTGAAAAGATATCCCTAAAAAAGCTTTTAAATGAATAATCGCACTTCATTACTAGGAATCGGGGATACGATATCAGATAGTTAATTACATTTTTTACAATGAAAATTCAGAAAACATATGTAAAAATGTCTTATTCAACAATTATATTTACTTTACAAATTTAATAACAAATGGTGCCAGAAAGAATTACATGTCTTTAAATTAATAATATAGAAGTTATTTTTAAATAAAATCCTTTAACGGTCCGAAAAGTTATGCAACTCATTGCTAGACTTTTTATTTAGGCAACAGCCGGGAAAGTAAAATTACATTTATATTAATGTGTCAGAAAAAACATATAACTCATGAATAATTTTTTATTATTGCTTCATAAATTCATATAAATCCTGAAGTTGGATAACTAAAACGGTAAATTTTAATTTAATTAAAAGTTAGTTCGTAAGGTTGCTTGGATTTAGTTAATTAATTTCAGCAGCACGTAATAATATAAATGGCTAATCTTAATTTTGTCAATTACGAAAAGATTTATAAAATAATTGAATTATCCATTGTCATTTTAAAAACTTTTAGAATATATTTTACAATATATATAATGATATAATAATACTTTACTGCAATATTTATATTTTTCGATATTTAACTACTAAAATAAAGTATAGAAACAGTAAAGTCGAGAGAAGTATAGTAATTTTAACTTTCCTCAGCTGTACTGTACGTGACTTTAACGTCTCTTATATTCATTTCTTATAAAAAAAATTTTTGAAAGATCGATAAAAGACAATGATTTTATCTAATTTCCAAGAATTGTTTTTCAATCGAACTGATATAATCCTTTCAGATTTCGGAAAAATTTCTTGAAGGACAAGTAATTATATGTGTTGAATCGATAACAATACAACTATTCTTCCAGTAATGGCTTAGTTTCTCATTTATTATAACTTATTAAAATTTTTTCATAGTTTGTTTAATTACTTTATTTTTTGAATAAAGTAAGTGAAATGAATTAAAACTGCTGTAAAAACGATGCCGTAAAAAATAGTCATAAAATGCTAAATAGTAATTATAATGTAAGAAACTGAGATTTGAAAGCAGTTTTAAACGTAAAAACAATTATGGAAGTTAGCAAAAATCAGATTAATTTTATAAATTGGAAGAAAGACAAAATCTTATTTATTTTCAACACTCTTCTTCTGTTACCCGTGACTGAGAGGATGTTTAATTTTCCTGCTAAAATGAAAGTTATCACAAAATGACTGAATCGAGCACAGACTCGATTGGTCCTCGTGTTTTTTATAAAAGGTGGAAATCACCTTTCCTCCTTGCTAATACTCAGGGTTTTAGTTACACTATTAGCCATCTAAGCTTACAGCCATGTTTTACTCGTACTACTAGACGTCTCAGTTATTGCTTTTACTTTGGTGTTTCCATGCTAAGAATATGAAAGGTCTTAGCATGGAAACATGGAAAGGTCTTAGTAGGTCTCACTTTTTGTAAAAATATTAAAAAGAAGAAAGGTTCTCATGACGTTCACAGGTAGTATGATAACTGATGTATGTTTTCTTGTTTGGAGATAGTGCCCTGAAGCATTTAGTTAGGGTTTAGATTATATTTGAATTTGTAATTAGCTTGAACTTATGTTGTACACATTATAATGTAATGTGTACAATATAAGTTCAAAATAATTAAAAACAATTAACACTTTATATTTTAAATTTGGTTGACTTCCGTTTTATGAATCGACACGATACCTCCTTCACTCGACGTCATCTCTCTCACTCAAATTATATAAAAATAAAACAAAATATTTTTTTGAATCGCCAGTAAATACGCGAATTGTTATTTCATCCTACCTGGTGTCAGGACCTTGACGTAGAATCATACCTCATGATCTTTCAGTTTTCAGAAGCTCGTCTACCTATCAAGGATTTGTAGAAATCCTTGATAGGTAGACGAGCTTCTACCAACCCTGGATCTCGTAATAATATACTTTTCATTTATAGATAATCTAGCAGATAGGACCCGCAGATGCCGGCACAAAAATAAAAACAAACATTTGTATTATTTCATACTCTCAACATTTTCATTATATCATATTATAGTGTGAGGGTCAAAAATTTCGTGTTATAAACTTTAAATTTTTTATAAAATTTTAATTAACCTTGGGATGCAACTCTATGAAGACGGAACGAGTTTTAACGAAAATTAAAAGAGATAAGGGAAACAAAGTCTGATTAAACCTCGATTCCCACGAGTTAGGTTCCTTGTTGAAATGAGTACATCTCTGTGTCACGATTGTGTCACCCATCACCTTATTGGTCCAAATAGAGCGTCATCCCTGACGAAATCAGGGAAAGGCCCGAACAGAGGATTTCGTATAAAAAGAACCGGCACGATGAGTAAGATCGTGGAAGTTATTATTTGATTGTGTGTGTGTGTCGCGCCGAGTTCGTCTTCGAGAGACTGTTCCTGTCGAAACCCATCACCTCCTCCTCAACGACTGAACTGGACAATATCAATTCACCAATTTAACTCCGAACTGGGGTGTAAAGCTAGTTCGCCTCCCCGTGGTGCACTCTCGATAGCGTCTATTCGTGAACTAAATGAGCTAGCAACTTTTGGCGTCCAAATAATCCGTAGGATCTCCTGGACAATACACATCTTTTTTAACTATTTAAACTACTTATGTGTTCTCATTACAAAGGCCATAGTACCAAAGACCTTGGTCCTCAAATTAAGATATGTCAAATTAATATTGAAGGCATTAGTCGAGCAAAATGCCAATACTTACAAAGAATTCTAAAGGATAACGAAATTGACATAGTTGTAATTCAAGAGACTCATACTGAGAATAAATACCAACTTCAGACAAGAGGTGTGATTCCTGGTTTTGAACTAATTGGTTCAACCTACCAGAAAACATACGGCATTGCAACATATACTCGTAGTGACATTGAGGATGTCCTGTTTTGTAAGCAAAACCACTGACGATAACATTCATGTGGTTACTAGGTTGTCCAAATTACAATCAGCAATATCTATAAAACCCCAGCTACAACTTGGCCACAACACGTCATACCACAATTACCCCATCCTGCTGTCTACTTGGGAGACTTCAACAGCCACCATGAATGCTGGAAATACCGTGACACTGATAAAAATGATGACATGGTATTTAAATGGGCAGAGGAAAATAATCTTTATCTTCTGTTTGATGCTAAAGATCGATGCACCTTTAGGTCCAGCGCTTGGGGTTGTGAATATAACGCTGCCTTGTGCTTTGTGCCTTCAGATAAAAATAGACAACCGTTATCAGCTACACGAACAGTTTTAAATCAGTTCCCGCGTAGCCAGCACCGCAGAATAATTATCGGAATTGGACTTAGTATTCCTATAGTGAACAGTATACCACGCCCAAGATGGAATTTTAACAAGGCTAACTGGACTTTGTTCTCAGAAGATCTTGACAAATGTTTGGGATGGATCCCACCTACATCCAACAGCTATAAAAGGTTTGTTGGAGCACTGTTTAGGGTAGCCAAAAAATGTATACCTGCTCCCTGACCTAGAGGATACCGCAAGATTTATATCCCAAGATATATCTAGAGCTCCTAGAGATCGTGAATTCACAATTAAGATTTAAAAAAAAGCTTACGTCCATCAAAGCTAAATGTATAAATGATACAGCGTACTCACTACCCTTTGATACTAAAGAAATCTATGCTGCTCTTAAACAAATAAAAGCTGGTAAAGCGCATGGAAATGATGGTGTCCATCCTGAATTCCTCTTACACAGCGGCAAGTACACTAAGCAATGGTTGGCTCGCTTCTTTACTGACATCCTACAGACAGGTAAAATTCCTTTCGCTATGAAACAAGCTAAAATCATAGCTATCCTGAAACCCGGAAAACCTAATGATAGACCAGAGAGCTATCGACCTATCTCACTCTTGAGTGTGATGTATAAGCTATTAGAGAGACTTCTTTACAACAGATTGAGCAATACAATTTTTGAGAATATTCCGGTAGAGCAGGCTGGTTTTCGACCAAATAGGAGCTGTACAGATCAGGTACTAGCCTTCACTACT